CCCTCTCTGTGATGCTGCTCTCTTCTGGCGTCTGGGGTATGGCTTCTTCTTCTTCTTCTTCTTTTTCCTCTTTTTCTTTGGCGCCGTGAAGCACTCTGGAGACTGACGACGGCCACGGTTTCCGCGAATTTGAGTTGAGTGTATGCAGTGAGATCCACGGAGAGTGTNTTTCCTCTTTTTCTTTGGCGCCGTGAAGCACTCTGGAGACTGACGACGGCCACAGTTTCCGCGAATTTGAGTTGAGTGTATGCAGTGAGATCCACGGAGAGTGTTGCAACGGCACAGTAAACGGTGAGCGTGTGTGCATGCTCAAGATGAGAAGGAGATCTTCTCCGCCATCTTCTCTTCCCTTGCTCCATTACTACTATCTTCCACCGTGGCCACCACCACCACTACAACGACCACAACAACTGCCTTCCTTTCTCTCTACCTTCCGTATCGCTCCAGCAGTGTCTGTCAGCACAGGCAGCACCTTTGAGGAACTGCTTCTGCTATTGCTGTCTCTGCTTTTCGTTCCAAGAGACCATCGATTATCGTCTCCCGTCACTGCACCGTTGCCGCTGCCGTCGTTGCTGTCGTCGTTGCTTTTTTTTATTCTCCTTTAATCACGGGCATCTGCTGCTCGCACCGCCACTTCACCCTGGTGCCCGATTCTGCGCCCGGAGCACGCCGTGCAGAATTGCAATTGGAAGCGGTGGTACCTTACCGGCTGCCACTACGACTGTTGACAACGGCCGCGACGAATGTGCCCTTTGGCTGCGGCATCTTCTGAAAAAAGAGGGAACAAGAGAGAGAAGCTCGCGTTCGCGCCAGATCGATACATAAATCTTCGATGCACTCTCTCACACACACACTTTTAACTCACTTTACTTGCGCAATACTTCACGTCTCTCTGCTTTGCGACCGCCAGCGCACTTGTTGGACTTGATCAGCTTTTCAGGTTGTGGCCTCTTTTACACAATATGTAAAAGTCGATGCTGTTTTCAGCTTCCCACTGGAAACAGTTTCAGTGAAATCAAGTGTGTGTCAGGTGCAAAGGTCAGTAGTGCACCACCGGTGGTCACCTCACCGGCCAGAACTGGTGGTCCCTTCCTCTTTTGATATCTCACCTGATATAAAAAATCTAAAAACGAGGCTGGCTAGAGGGAAAACACTAGCACTGAGAGTGACAGAGCAAAAAACGTAGCCGGCACTAATTTGCGTGGTGATCAAGTTCGGTTGACAGATTTATGTGCGCTATGTGTGTTTGATGCGGTGTGCACCATCACCAACCTCATGCGGCAACAGCAACAGCCCCTCGGTATCCCTCGGTCCTCTCCAACACACAATGTCTATCTCTATCTTTCTTTTCCTACTTCAGGCCAGCAACACTAATTCAGCAAGCTAAATTATATAGCTCTGTGCAGTGCTCGGAGCATCAACAGCGGCGGCGGCGGCATCAGCAAGACGATACAGTATAGTGGATAATTTACGATGAGCGCGTTATGTTTTCGGCTGTCGTTCTACACTTCATTCCGAGTCGCAGGAGCGAGTCAAGCTACAGCTTGCTCGGGAAGAATGAGAGAGACAGGACCAATTCGCTGTCAAGTCCAACTGGCGAGAAAAGTCACTCTCTGCCTCATCCTGCTGCTGCGGCTGTCCCGCTTCTGCCCGCGTCTTTGGCTGATGCTGACGGTCAAACGGCCAAGATTAGCAAAAAGTAGCTGGCCAGTGGCTGAGAGAGAGAGGGGAGAAGACCGAAAAGCAAAGAGCAAAAAACTCAAAGACAAATGCCGAGTGATTTATACGCTCAATAGGAATCGAACACTGCCGAACAGTTGAGCAGGCAGTTGTCAGTTCCAGTGAAGAGGCAGTTGTAACATACTGGCAACTTGACGGCGCTCTGGCCATCATCTGTGGCGCTCTTGCGCTCTGGCCAAGAAGAACTGCTTAGCAGCACGTAGTACTACTGCCGCCTTTGCTTGCTTGCTTTCCGCTTTATTAGTTTGTTGCTCTATTCTTGACTCCATCTGCAACAACAGCAACAGCATTATGGCCAGTACTCGACGATCGGTGCTTAATGAGTGCTGCTCAGAGGATAATGATCACTTGTGTGTGTGAGCTGTTGTTTGCTGTCTTTGCGGCAGACCGACTGCCATCAGCAACAGCAGCTCATTGCCACTATTATCTACGCGTTTCGGACTCAACACCAGCCTGGCTTACTGCACAGCTATCTGGCTTGCCTCAGAGACAGACCTCACTTCTGCCACTGACAGCTCATATTGTCTCTCTGCATCATTTAGCGTCGTTTGTGGTCGGTAAAATTTTTATTGTGCAACAGTGCTCCTTGAGAATAGTAGCGGGGCCGCGCAGAATAGCACAGCTCGACGAATGTGTGTGCCTGTGCCTTTGCCTGTGCTATGTCTCAGGGCGCTGTTTTGTTTTCTAACTGCTTAACTGCCCATTTGACTGCTCAACACTTCCACGTAACTGCAAGAATGTATCACTGAGATTGCGGTGATGATGATGATGACGCTGATGCCGATGTGGGCAGTCAATGGCCGTAAACAGTGCTAGAGCTGATGTGTGTGTTCCTTGTCCTCTCTTTCTTCATTTCTTCGCCATCACTAGCTTATGGCTATTTCCATGAGGTTGCCATTTGCAGTAGTAGGACACTGAACTGGTGGCTGCTTTTTGCTGTTCAAGTACGGCAGAGCTCTGCAGCTCCTGCTTCAAACAGAAAAATTTACAGTCGTAATACTCTAGATATTATTTATGACCTCTTTGTTTCGCTACATTCGAGTGTTTTATTATTTGTGTGAGGTACTTTGTTTGTCAAAGTTTAGCTGTTCTTTTTTGGTTTGTTCTGCTCAGAGACGCTCCACAGATTAGGATAGTGGAGATGGTGCCTAGCGAAAGAAGCACACTGACTTGGTGCTTCTGCTGATGCTGGTGCCGTCACGGAGCAACTAATGNTTTGGTTTGTTCTGCTCAGAGACGCTCCACAGATTAGGATAGTGGAGATGGTGCCTAGCGAAAGAAGCACACTCTGCCAAAGGGACTGACTTGGTGCTTCTGCTGATGCTGGTGCCGTCACGGAGCAACTAATGCTGATGCTGCTGCTGCTGTTGATGCCGATGGTGGCCAACGAGTGGCACAAATGGAAATGCACCAAAGACAGACTATGACGAAGTGGAGAGTGAGTGAAGTGGCAGCAGCCTGCAGTGTGCCCAGCAGAGACTCGCTGAACGAATGAGCGAACGAATGCATTTGCTCGACGAGGTAAAGTTGCCAATTTGGATGCGCTCCCTTTCCTCATGCTGGTGCTGGTACAGATGACCTTGCCCAATATTGCAATTTGGCCGAGCAGTAGTGACGAACATCTTCTCCTCACTGCAGTCTCACTCTGCACTTTGCACTATACAGCAGAACAGGGCAATGAAAGAGAGGGAGAGATAGATAGAAAGCTAAAGGCCATGGGGTAAGCTCTGATCTCAAAGCTCGGAGAGAGTCTCGAACAGAGTCGTTGACAGCTCGGCGGAGCTGCCTTGCCTAATTCAGTGCTTCTTTCTTCATTCTTTCCTTTTTCTCTACCTGCTTTCTGGCGCCAGCAGTTTTTTTCGGATGAATTCGATCTTCAAGAGAGAGAGAGAGTGAGTGAGGGGCAGGCGAGAAAGAAAGCTGACAATTAACGGTTCATTTGCCATTTCGCGAGAATTGGGCCAGAGAAGAGGAGGAAAACAACGAAAATAGCCACTGACGTTGTCGTCAGCGGCATGTTTGCCGTGCACTATGCACGGGGCTCCCGGAACAGCTACCGACCAACACTAGTGCTGCTGCAATCGATAAGACGCTCTCTAGCACATTCTACCGAATCGCACCGTACTGTTCCAGCTTGCCGGGCGGTATATACGCTGGCAATTAGCAGACACTCAAGTGCCCTCTCCACTTGGTAACACATCGTGGTCCAAAAGTTGCCTATCAGGGGCTATATATGAAAAGTACAAAAACCAAAAAGTAGAATCAAAATCAGAAGCACCGTCCGCAGCAGCAGAAGCAATTGCACTTGCAGTGTTCTACTTCTTTATTAGCAATAAAAAGCGTGTAGACGATTCAAAATAAACAAGGTGACAGGTAGAGAAAAAGAAAAATCTGTTGGAAGAAAAAGAGAAGAAGAAGTGAAGAAAAGAAGTTGTTGCTATATCTAAAAGAGAGTGGATCAATAAATAGTGAGAGTTTTGCTGTTGCCGGGAAAAAGAGAAACTGCTGAGAATGAAACTGAGTGCAAGAGAGCAGAGGTGAGGACAGTATTGGTGCAAAAGTATATTGCCGTCCCTGAATCTTCTTGCTTANCAGAAGCAATTGCACTTGCAGTGTTCTACTTCTTTATTAGCAATAAAAAGCGTGTAGACGATTCAAAATAAACAAGGTGACAGGTAGAGAAAAAGAAAAATCTGTTGGAAGAAAAAGAGAAGAAGAAGTGAAGAAAAGAAGTTGTTGCTATATCTAAAAGAGAGTGGATCAATAAATAGTGAGAGTTCTGCTGTTGCCGGGAAAAAGAGAGACTGCTGAGAATGAAACTGAGTGCAAGAGAGCAGAGATGAGGACAGTATTGGTGCAAAAGTACATTGCCGTCCCTGAATCTTTTTGCTTAGAAAAAGACCTCTCTACGTTCAAACACTCACGACTGCAAATTCAAATGGGCTGCAGCGCTGATTTCCCGCGTTCTTCTTCGAGCAACTCGCGTTTGGCAGGCCATCTTTTGGCGGAGAACGGTGATATTCAGGGCTATCAGGCTAAGGCGAGATGCCAAAGAAGGAGATGGCATTCAGTGTGGTCTTGATGGCGACATCCTCTGGCTTCATGTTCAGGTACGANAAAAAAAGACCTCTCTACGTTCAAACACTCACGACTGCAAATTCAAATGGGCTGCAGCGCTGATTTCCCGCGTTCCTCTTCGAGCAACTCGCGTTTGGCAGACCATCTTTTGGCGGAAAACGGTGATATTCAGGGCTATCAGGCTAGGGCGAGATGCCAAAGAAGGAGATGGCGTTCAGTGTGGTCTTGATGGCGACATCCTCTGGCTTCATGTTCAGGTACGAGGACACTATCTCCAGTGTCACCGGCAGACTAGAGGGTTCGTTCCGCTGAAAAGAACAGTACCTGGTCAAAAAAAGGCAGATTTGTGTCAATTTAATTACTAAACCTTTCCTTTGCTGAAATTTACCTATTCAGGTGGCTCAGTGATTTCTCAGTCAGTGTTTCCTTGACTTTGGCAGTCATTTTATTGCTTCTAGTGTTTGGGTAGCAGTAAGGGCTGTCGGTTTCGAGCACTGTTGAACATGTTAGAATGTTAAAATGGCAAATTAGAAATCAAGTCAAGCACTTACTTAACCGATCAATTGGCAAGGTCTTCTCTTCGAGCATCTTCATCAGTCCATTGTCCGGCTTCAGCTTGGAGATGTAACCTGAAAAATTCACAAATTTTGTTAGGAAAAGAAAGCACACATCTTTAATTCTGGTATTTACCGGTAAGACCAATGTAGAAACCCATTTCGAGGTAGACCTTGCACTCCTCCTGAGTGCCGCTGAAGCAGTGGACGACCACATTGGGCAGCTGATCGCGGTACTTGCTGAGAATGCGAACAAAGTCCTCGTGGGCGTCTCGTTCGTGGAGAAAAAGCGGTCGAATGGTGCCCCTTCGCTTTAGATCACATGCAATTTGGATTTGCTTCTCAAAGACCTCCTGCTGGACGTCTCGAGGGGAAAAGTCGCGATTGTAATCAAGTCCTGGAAACACAGAAAAAATGCAAATTATCAATAGACTTTGCTTTCTATGGAAAATGACGCACACAGTCACCACCACTTACCACACTCTCCAATGGCGACGCATTCGCTGTTCCTGGCAAGTTCTGTTCAGACCAAATTAAGGGCGAAGTTGAAACAATAAGTTAATTTTGTTAGGCGTGAACAACAGCAACAAAAACTAACCTGTCAGCGCAACTTCGCAGTCATCTGTCCACTGTTTGGCGTCATGCGGATGGACACCTTGTGTTGGAATGAAGAAAGAGAGTAAAGTTGAGATGATGATTTGTTTGTTTGCACCTTTAAGTGAGGGACAGAAAGGAGTAAATTTACAAACACTTACCGGCTGTGCAGTAGAGCATGTCTGAAGATAGGGAGGGGAAAACCACAGACAAACAGTTAATTTTAGACAGCAATAAAGTGATTTAATGTGTGTGCTCTTTTACCTGGGTGAAGGTGAGACAGTCGTAGTGCATCTTTGCTGCTGCTGATGGAGGTGCCGGTGACTAGTATCTTGCACACGCCTGTCATTCAGTGGATTAGAGCAAAAAGTCAGTTTCAGTACTTTTGTTTAATATGTAAGACCAAAACTGAGGAAAGCACTTTCACTGACTTTCACCACTGACTCACCGACGTCACGAGCCCGCTGGAGAACCGCGTCGAGGTCTTTGGCAAACTTGCGATTGGTCAGATTGGCGCCGATGTCAATCAGCAGGTAGTGACCGGGATTGGCAATGTCCAGCATCAGCTTGCTGAAGTCCTGAGAGACGAGATCTCGTATGGACTCGGAAAGACGAGAAGCGGCTGTGGTAGTGGTGGCATTTGAGGAATTCATGGCACAGGAGTTGCTGAGATGAATGCACCGATGATGATGTCCGATGACTGCTGTTGCTGTTGATAATGATGATGGGGACTGCTGCTGCTGCTGTTGGAGACAAAGAAGAGGTGGTGATGAAGAAAAGAGGAAACAGACTCGCCTAGCGGAACGCAACATCGACAAACAAAGTAGACAACGGCAACAACTCACACTTGGGCGATCTACAGTTCACTAGCATGTCTCATGTAAGTAAACAAGTGGTGTGTCTATCTGACTCTTTGGCTCACTTGCAGCGACTGCACGACTTTTGGTTGCGCTTGCCGCCGTCGCCGCTGCCGTTGCCGATGCTGTTTCTGTTGCTGCATCTCCCGATGTCTGCCTGTCTGTCTGTCTGCAATTGCACAGAGCACATTATCGTCACTTACGATTTTCACTGCAACTCTCAGTGCCCACGATGGCAACAGTTGCACAACAACACACGATGCAGTGGTGGTGGGTGCACTGCGAGGCACACTCCACTGACTGACTGAGCAAGTAAGTGAGTGAGTGACTTGCCGGCAACAAGTGCAGCAGCAGTCCACTCTCAGCTGATCTCTCAGTCGACCTACCTCTATTCATTGAGAGCTCAGGACATTGGCTGACCAGCAGAGCTGACCATCAGCGAGCTCGATTGTCTTATCGTGCATTTTAGTGCATTGCACCATTGCTAATGTGCTTTTTCTCCCAGAGGCAATGTAGTCTGCCTTTCTTCCTTGCGTGTGAATGAGTATTAAGCTGCAATGATTGTGTAGTGTGTGTTCTCAGTTGACCAGAACATCAATCAAGGTGCATCCTTTTGCCATCATCACCACTGGAGCTGATGTTCGGCCACCGGCATGTAATGTGTGCTGCACGCAGTGGAACTCACACTGTGAAACACACTACATTATGGCGTCATTATTGGCCCCCATCCTCATCATTTGGATCACTAGCGCGCACTATTAGAATATTAGCAATAGAGAGTATTCGTCTGCAATCGCTTAATGGTCGCTATTAGGTGAGCTGGAGTTGAAACGAGCTCATTACTGTGATCTATCCATTCTTAGAACGGTTTGGTTTGGCAAAAAGACAATCGATACTAAAGCAATAACTGTAGTTGTAGTGCCAAAAAGATGAAGGGGTTTGTAGTTTTGTGCGGAGGCTATCTTCTAACTTTTAGCCAAGATCATTTGGCAGCGGAAAGCAAAATCAACCGACGCACACACACACATAATCACTGACTACGGCTAATCACACATTCATACACATAAAAAAGCATCAATATCGCAATGATGACTGCCTGTCTACTACTGTTTCAAGCAAAGTTGAAGCGATTCTTGCCGCAATTCAACGAGACTGCGGTTTATTTGGATTAATCGTAATGGATGCTAAATGTGAAGATAAGTGCCTGAAGAAGGAGAGAGGGAAATAAAAGGAGCCTTGAGAAAAGCTTGATATTTATTTAAGGCCAGACTAGGCTGTTTTAGATTTTAATGAAGCTAATGTATATTAATACCAAGAGTGTGATGTCTCCAAAAGGGGGCACACCGCTTAATGAATCTGATAGTGATTCAACTTTTTTTCAAAGAATTGGCCACATTCATTCAACTAATGTCAGGCAGACATGAGTTGATGTAATATTTGCTGAAGCATTTAATGAACTTTACAACTACTACTGCTGCTGCTTTTTGCTTCTTCACGGTCGCTGGCCATGAATCAAAGTCGGCCGCATCAACACTAATGTCACTAATGGCGCCCTCGTGGAGCTGAGCATTCTTTTTGAGAGCTTTGTGAAACTAACACTGAAAGGTCACAGTGTTACAGCCACTGACATTACCATTTTGGTTTTACCACCAACGCTGATTCAATTCACCGGAACTGCAAGCACATAAAGTTTGTGCACACAGGTATTCCTATACCTTTTCAGCTTTAGCTATTTAGTTTGTTGTTTGCTTTTGCGTCTAGTGCTATTCCTGAAAGCTGGCGTTTAAAGTGCGCGTGCATTTGATTTGGACGTACTCAACCTGTAGTGACTTTGAATTGTAGCTATACTTAATTTGTCTTCCATTAGAAGTCAGTGAGGGGATCACCAGTGTTTACTGGGCGATGGCAGTGGTGGGCAATGAAGCGAACCGAATGAAAGGAACGATACTAGCAAGACAGGCTACCGGAAAGAGTAGTGCACCGGTTTGTGGGACACATTGCTTTTGCAGAGAGCTCCATGCTGGTCGTGGCACTGCAGTATATCTTTTTCTTCTTTTTTCACTAGCAGTCAAACTGGGCACAGCTAATCTGAGTGCTCCATCTTTTCTGGCAAGTCTTGAGACGGCAATGGGCTCAGAGAGATGACAACTTACCGTACAAAACTACTGCTTTTTTACAATTTACTGCTGCTGCTTCCTTTAGTTTTCTCTCACTTGTTTGTCCCTGCGTTCACTGCTAAACCGATCATTTCAAATTGGCTTTTAATCCTTTTCATTAAAAGCTATTTAGTCGATGGCTTTAGAACAACCAAAGTGAAAAAAGGGCCGTCAGGCAGTTGAGTCATTCTGAGAATCTCAATGTCAGTTAAACATAGCGTAGATTTGGTTTAAATAACGGCTTTTTATTACGATTGCATTGACTGTAAATTGTAGCTATCAAACAAAAACTTTTTCTTTGTGAACAAAAGGAGGTTAGTAGAGCTTAGTAAACAACGGTATGTGTACACTTTCTCAAATGTGCTTTCCAATGATTTTCGGGTGATTGAACTGAAAAACGCTGAACAAACGTGTCATCAATGTATAAAAAATAAAAAAGGTGCAACAGCTGCCATTGAATTTTCACTGTAATAAGAACTGTCAGTGTCTCATGCAAAAGCAGATCTTCTTGTGTGTGTGTGCGCGCGTCAAGACCACTGGTTGAAACAGAAAAAAAAACAAAAGTTGCCGCTTCGTTGACTGACAATTTAGTGCACCCACACACAATAAAAGACTGGGGCACCCACTGAGGCCCAATGACCCGACCGACTGTGATGTGCCTGGCAGCACTGCAGTGACTCCACCACCGCCGCCAGTGTCACACATACTCGATGGCCCACAAAAAGGGAGAGAACGAGAAGGAAAAAAGTGAGTGGCACTTGCGTCTTCAATTGCCAACTTATGAGACGTCTGATTGCTGGCTGACAGTTTAATCAAGCCATTTGCTAGCTGTGTGAGCTGATGCTGAAGTAGACGCAGCAACAGAAACCAAAGCCAAAACAGCATCACTGTTTCTGTTTGCCTTTTCTCTATCATCGTAGTTGACGCTTTTTGCTCTTCAAGTCCTTGGTTTTCTGTTTGGCTCTGTTCTTCAGCTCCTGCTGCTACTCCCTTTTGCCCACAGTGAAATTGAGCTCAATTTGATTGCTTCTTGCCGTGCAGCAACAGCAGCAGCAACTTTGGCAATCTGTAAATTGAAAAGTGTCAAATGTTCCCAATAAAATCTATTACGTTTCAATTTAGTTTCTTTTTTTCTTTTTGTTTTGAGAACAAGTTCAAGAGCAAAATACAATTAAAGTGACAAATTGCATTGCAACTCTTGGAAGAGAAAGCTGTTTTTTCCAAATTTGAAATTGAGATTAAAAAGGTAAGTGGTCGAGTGGCAAGTGTTTGCTTCAGCTCAAACACACTTTCTCTAAAATTGGCTGAGCGGCCGTGACTGCTCTTTTTTCTTCTTTGGGTAGCAATCTCACTTGCGTGCCCAGGCATTTGATTTGTGCATCATCTGCAGCAGTACAACCACCAAACCACCGCCAAGCTGCAGCTCTCTTTCTCCTCATGCACGCTCAAAGCGGAAGCCGTGCCACGGTAATGGCCAGCAGGATTTACCAGATTTGCTGACCACCAAATGGACTCACTGTCCACCACTGCTACTGACGATCAGAGCAGCACCAGCCTGCATTTCACTGCATCAAACACACACTCACTCACACACACACACTACAGTGACTGATGACTTTTTTCTTTAATTCGCAATTTGACAGCGAATTACCACCACCACCGCCACCATCTACATCAGCAGCAGTAGCACAAGCATCAAGTAATAAATCATCAAACCTGTCGCAGTGCAAATTAATGTTGTCACCGAATTTAGCAGAGAAAAACTAACATTAGAAAAGGAGGAAAGGAAAAGCAAACGCAGTAAAAAATTGTGGACAAGCTTAGTACACTACTAGGAGCGTGTGCCCCAGCGACAGTGAAAATGGTGCACCACCACCACCACTGACACAACTTTGACGGACACGCGCCGAGGTGACTGAGGTCTCTCTTACTTTGGAGGCTCATCACTCTTTTGCTCTCAACTAACTTGAGAAAAAAGAAAGTTCAAACCCTTGGGTTGAATCTGATAATCTGATTACGACCAAAGTGATAAACCCGCAAATGAGTTTAAAATGCAAAACATCAACACGCAGTCAGCAGTCTGTGTGTGTGTACAGGAAGCGTCAGCAGCACATGTGTTGCAACGAAGATAGACTTGTGCAAAGAAAGGCCATCACGTTCGAACCTTCGGGTGTGAACTATTATCATTTTCATTTGCATTCATTGAGCTGCTTTCAGCACTGCTAAAGCTACTGTTCTGCTGCTGCTGTTGCTGCAGTTTTGCCGTCTGTCGCCGCCGCTGTCTGTTTTGGGTCTTACCAATTGATGCTCATTTTCTGGCAAANCGCCGCTGCGCCGCTGTCTGTTTTGGGTCTTACCAATTGATGCTCATTTTCTGGCAAAAAGTTTTTTTCACACTCACATTTCCATCGGTTTGGGTGCTTGTTTGTCAATGCCGCTGTTCACCAAGTTGTTTTCAGTTTTTTTGTTGTTGCTGTTTCTCTGCTTCAAGTTTGTCGCCACGTAGATGTGAAGAATTTATTTGCCAGCAAAGTAAAAAAAGAAAGTAGGAAAAAGAAACCGTAAACTAAAGCCGCAAGACAAGAGTTGCGACACTCGACTTGACACTGATAAGACACTGCTGCAGCAGCAGCAGCAATC